TAGATGAATAAATTCAATTTTTGTTCTTTTATTAGAGAATACTAAAAAGAAACTATTTTTTTACTATTTCAGTAAATCTTCAACCTGAAAATGAATTATTTTTAAATTATGTATTGGAAGAATGTTCCTACTTGAGAAGATGCACGAGAAATCTCAATCCTTTTCATATTAATTATGAAGAATCATTATTTTTATTTCACCAAAACATGTAAGTTGGTTTTGTTTTTACCTTCTAAATATAATCATAAGTTAAGGAATGATTTGTTAAATCATTAACGAGATAATATTTTTTTTCATCATCACTTCAAAATCCATTATAATAAAAAAAAATTCGAAAACTGTTATTTAGAAAAACAAAATGAAGGAATTACAGAAAAACTAAAAAAAAAGAAGAATAGATAAAATTAGAGAATTACAGACAGAAACACCATGATTTCTTCTAACCACAAAATCACAAAACAATTAGAATTACTCTTCAATAAAAGAAAAGAGAAAGAACCTATTTTATGTGAATGTATGAATTTATCATATGATAATAAAAACATGAAATGGCATGATGAAGATAAAGAATATTGTGTTTCAATTTTTAATGGACATTTTATCTTTTACGACAAAAATAATAAAGGGGTAGTAGATTTTGTTATTCCTATTATTTCATCAATCCAATCAACAGAAGAAGATGATACAATAATGTTAACAGGAGTGTATGGAGTTCCAGTATTATGTCTTGTTTGTATTTTAGTTATTATTTAATTAAATAAAAATAAACAATATAATAATTATAATAGATTAATAAGAATAAATTCTTCCTCAGGGTTGCAACACGAATATTAATAAAACAATGTAGTGTTTCATTTCAATCTTTAATTGAAACAAACCAATTGAAGTCTAACTCAAGTGTATTACAAATAACATATTTACCATTATTTGGAAATTCGATTCAAATAATAATGTTAGCTCATTTTTATGACCCAAAAAGATTACAAGTTCCTGACTTTGTTTATAAATCAATTAAATATTTAGCAATGATTACAGAAACAGAAGGACTTTTTAGATTATCAGGTGATTCATCTGAAATGGAAGAAATAAGAGAATTAATAAATAAAGGAGAAGAAATCATCTTTCCAAAATATTCAATTCATTCAATTTCTAATTTACTAAAATACTTCTTTCGTTCATTACCACATGGACTAATACCTCAAACAAATATGTATAAAATGGTTGAAAGAATTCAAAATACATCTCGAAGTGAAACAATTCAAATATTAAAAGAAGAGGTTCATTGCCTTTCTCTTCCTGTGTTTACTATTTTATCAGTTTGTTTTTAACAATACATTCTTTGTCATATTAAATATTCATTAAGTTAGTTGTTAAATGAATTAATGATGAAAATTCTTGAACTTTCACAAATTAACAAAATGACAGAAAAAAATTTATTAATTTGCTTCTCTCCTTCTTTAAAAATAAATGGAGTACTTCTCCAATATTTATTGTTTTGTTCTGAATTATATCAATGATTATTTATTATTGTGTCTTTTCATTTGAATTTTATTTTCATAATCTTCTTTTCTTTAAAAAAAAAAAGAAAAGATTTTTTCAAATAAATAATAAATAATAATAAAGTAAACTATATTTTATTAATCTATTCAAAAAGAAATAAAAATAGTTCAATTTTAACGTCGAGATAAACTTAAAAAAAAAGGAGAAAATCTCAATAACAAAATAAAGATGTCAACTTGTCCTGTATGTGGTAAAAAGGCTTATCAAATGGAAGCCATTAAAATAGAAGGTATTACTATGCATAAGAATTGTTTTAGATGTAGTGTCTGTAAGAAAATTTTAAATGGTGCTAATTTTGCAAAGAATCATGGAGTTTATTATTGTAAGGTTCATTTCCAACAAATGTTCAGAGAAAAAGGTAATTATGATGAAGGTTTTGGTTATACTAAACATAGTGCTGATTGGGAAAAGAAAGATGAAGAACATCACGTTGAACAAAAACATGTTGAAAAGAAAACTGAAAAACCAGTTGAAGTAAAGAAAGAAGAAACAAAACCAGTTGAAGTGAAGAAAGAAGAAACAAAACCAGCTGAAGTAAAGAAAGAAATTACTTTTTCACCTGAAATTAAGAATCAAATTGATAGTATTTTAAAGGTTCTTGATAAAATGGAAGGAATTGTTTCAAAATTAGAGAGTTGTGGAATTAGTTCAAGTGAACCAATTAAAAATGAACAAGTTGATAATGTTTTTGCACGTCTTGAAGCTGTCATTTCCAAATTAGAGAAGAAATGAAAGAATAAAATATTTTTTTTCTTTTCAATTTTAAAAGTTTTTTATAAATAAAAGAGAAAATATTATCAATAATACCAATAATTGAATTAATCAGCTAAAATAGCATGTTCTGTTCTAGAATCATTTGCAGGTGTTTCTTCAGTACCTACGTGAGAACCAAGTGGTTGAGTAAGTTCAATTGGTTGGCTCCCATCTTCATCAAAGTTTTTATTAACAACTTTACCATAATCATCAAATTTAAGGTCTTCATATGGTTTAGCATTTTGTTTTCTTTCTTCAATTTTTTGTTTACGATAATGCAAATAGAAATATCCAACTGAAATAGAATGGAGGAATGTAATAACACCAATAATTACCTGATATATTCCAAATGCAACATAATGTTGGAAATGACAGGTAATTCCTGTAGGTTGTATTTGACTTAATGAAAAATCAACTTGACTTAACAAGTCATTTTTACAAAAGTTATTTGAACTAATTGCTAAACAAACTTCTGCAACACCAATAATTGCCATTCCAATTGATGCAATACCATATCCAATATCAAAAATTAATCCTTTTCTTTGAACGAGTATTAAACCAAAAACATATGATCCTATTGAAAGAGTTGTAACTAAAAAGATTACTGCAAGATGTGCAATAACTTGGAAAAATAATGGATACATACAAGTAAAACTATATTCTCCTTGTTCTGTTTTATATGTAAAATCAAGTGGAGTATTTGAGTCAAATGGTTCAGAAGAACAAGTACCATTCATTGGCGATGAAGTTAAATTCATCTAAAATTGATTATTATAAAGAAATAAAAAAGAGAAGAAAGTAAAAAAAGAAGAACAAACATAAAGTCCCTTGTCTGAATCTGACTCTCCAAAGAATACAAATTGATATATAAATGCAATAAGAGAGAGTATAAAACAGAATATTGAGATAACTGTCATAATTTGGAATGAAAACTTATGAGAACCATGGTTCTTGAAATAATCAAGGAATTTAGGCATAATGACACAATAAGAATAATTTTTATTAGTTTTATTTGTTTGAAAGAGTTATTTTTGTAAAAATGAATTTGAGTTTTAATAATAAAGAAGTATTATTTTATAATTTCTTTATAGTATTTCACTTTTTTCTTTAAGTGATTTTCAAGTATTTTTTGTGGGTTAAAATTAGTCATAAATTGAAATAAAAAAATTTTGATTAAAGAAAGTCATCAATATCTCCTAAATCTTCTATGTCTATTATTTGTTTTAGTTGATATTCTTTATCTAATAATGTTGACATTGAATATTGGCTTGTTCTACTCATCAATGAGAAAATACTCTGATTTTCTATTTGTGAGGTTTCATTTAAATGAGATATTTTTTCTCCTTCAAATAACCATACAGTTTTTGTTAAATAAAATACATTTAATGACTGTACAACATTAACGTTGATTGCATCTGCAATTATAGCAATGTCAAATGACATAGCTTGAGTTATTTTCTTTGAAGACTCACGAAATGATCCAAGAACTATTGGATGTTCATTAATAACAGTTTCTATAACAGGGTTTATATGAAGTAAATCATCTATTGTAGAGAGTCTTAGTGTTTTTTCTTTAGGTAAAACATCATATAATTTATCTAATACTGTTTGATTTGAAGCAGTAACAAATACTCTTTGGTGTGTTTTTGAACAGAATGTTTCAATTGTTGAAAGAATCATATTTGAAGATAATCCAGTTATTGGTGTAATTTCTTGTGAAGAAGAAAGGGAATTTAATAAGAAGTCATCTTTTTCACTTATTTGTTTTTGAATTAAAGTTTGTTCTGAAATATTTAATTTATCAAGAATCCAATCAAGATCATCATCACCATTATTTTCGTCTTCATTAAGAATATCATCAATGTTTTGAGTTTGACTTAAGTCTAAATTAAAATTAATTACAGGGCATGGTTTAGAATTAATAACAAAATCTCTAATCCGTTTCATATCATCATCATTTCTCATTAATTTACCAACTGTTGTCATACTAACTTGTAATGCATTTGTTCCAGAAAATTTATCCAGTTTAAATAAAGATAGAGTAGAAATAATAATTCTTTGAGGTGTTCTTATTTTAACTCTTTTTAATCGAATTTCTTGAATTTGTTCAATTCCTTGTTCTTCAGAGATTATACTTCGATTACTATTCTGTTGATCACAATCTGTGATTTTTTCTTCACTAATAATATCATTATCTTCAAATGGCAACATATAACCTTTAATTATATTTATTTTCCCATCTTCTGTTGAAACACAGATAAGTGACTCATCATAAATACATTCTCCTTCAAATGTATAAATGTAATAATCAGGAAATTTCATTGTACATTCACTTTTGATCAATTTCATTCTTCTTCCAATTGACTTAACTTCATTTGGAAATAACCATCGCTTTTGATTTTCTGTTTCAATTCGTTTCATTTCTAAACGAACATCGTTTAAATATTTAAAGTAAAATGCTTTTTCTAATGAATTAAGATGTTGAATGGCACTTTTATTATAATTTATTCCATCATTTTCACAAATTAAACCACAATGTTCTGTTATTTGGCAATATTTACATGAAATCTCTCTTCTTATACATTCATCCTCATTTGGTATTGTCATATTCTTTGAATACACTGCAAGTGAATTTCTTAATTGAGTAATAGCAACTAATTGTGGAACTGTTGGAACAACTTGAACAAAGTTATTATTTTGACGATGAACATAATTTAATAATCCTCTAAATTGGTGGTGAGGTTTTTGAAGGAATCCACTAAGAAGAAGGAAATAATAAGCAATTTGTCCGAAGTTTTCTTCTTTTTGTTTTCCTGTTTTCATTTCAACAATAATTTCACCTTCTGAGTCATTCAACAAAATATCAATTGCACCTTTAAAACCAAAAATTTGAGATTGAATTTGAGGTTCAGAAGCAATAAATTCTGAGAAGTGTATTTCACGGTTAAGACTTGTTTTAATAGTTTTTGTTTTCCAACATTGATACCAGTTATTCACAGTATCATAAAATTCCATTGCATGATCAATAAATTCTTTTCTTGTAATTCCTAATACATAAATTTTTGTTAATAATTCTTCACTTAATTCTTCTATCATTGATTTAAATATTGTTTTATTAAATTCAGGTGGGTTGGTAATGAGAATATGTTGAATTGTTCCATGAATTAATGTTCCTAAAGTTGTTGCTTCATAATAATCATCAAGAAAAAGATAATTTTTAATAACTGTTTGTCTATTACACCAGGTACTACTTACAGTGCTAGTAGTATTAATTAAATAATCAGGATTTTGAATAAGAAGTATAGGTGTTCTGTTATTAAGAATAAAAGGGTTTGGAAGAGAATTTTTTGTTCTTTCTTCTAAAAAAATGAGATGAATAAAATCACCGACTTTAAGTGAAGTGTCATACCATAAATCATCCAAATATAATATAAATTGTTTTTTTTCTTGTTGTTCTTCAACTTTATATCTTTTAAGATTTTTTTCATCATCTAATAAAGCAACAACTTCACAACGAATATAAAGGTTCCAATTCTTTTGAGTTACTTTTTTCCTAACGAGCATAACCACTTTTTTTTTTAATAAAATATTTTTTTCTTTTAGTTTTTTTTTTAAGAAAAATAATAAAAATAATCAACAGATAGTTAATTATTCGTCACAGAAAAATCTTTAAAATAAAACTGTCATGTTTGTTTGGTTATTAAACCTCTTTATTATTTCATCATTTTCTTTAATTATTCAGAGAAGACAAGACTGTCCAAATAAAATTAATGAACTTACAAGGTTTCAGTTTGGTACGAATGGTAGTTTATCTTTTAATTTATATAACGGTAGAAGGAAAGAATTGATTCAAACAACTATTACAATATGTCAAATTCCAAGTAATGGAGAAATGACAAGTTGTGAAAAGATGCAACAAGAATGTCAAAGTTTTGATTTATATGATTTGGCTAAAGGAAATACGATATTAAATATTAATATTACTATTCCAGATGAATATGGAATTTATATTCTT